ATGTCATTAGCACCTCTAGTAATATATTTACTGAGAAAAATGGTGACGTGTTCAATACTTATTTTACCTGCTGTAAATATATTTAAGATTAAAACTTAATATCTTGTCCCCTTGATTAAAGACAGCCAGTCTAAAACTGTCATCAATATACAGGTCTTAGGAAGTTTTATTTATACATTTATATGTATTTTTGACGCTTTATGTATGATGGGAATAAAAATAATCAGTGCTTCAGGTAAACTACAGTCATGGCGCCATCTGGTGGTCAGTTAAACATCTATAAAAATTATAAAGAAAGAAAACTAAGGTATTTGTTTGTTTATCCATATTTACTTACAAATTGTCAAAAATAGTTAAAATATTAACATTGGCTGCAATCTGTAGTGTATTAAAACAAAATTATAAATATTCAAAACTCATGGGTGAAACAGAATCAATGAGTCCTAATGTTTTCATATTTAACTGTTTTTATCCTTCTGTAAAATAAAATAAACACAATATTGTTTTTAAAAAGACGAGCTTCTTTATTTATTGATTTATTATTGTGATGTCCTTGTGTGTTGATTGTAAATCCAAAAATAAACTCATAGTAAAAAACAACAACACAAATATAAAAATCTACTTTGACTTTTTTTGCAGAAGCCAACGACAGAATGACGAATGAAGCAGTTTGAGTAAATTTATCTAATATTTTTTATGCTCTTTATATTTAAAATGAATTTAAAAGTACAGATTATTGTTAGAGCTACACAATGTTCTGCTCCAGCATCGGCTCCTTCTTCATGATCCGAGTGAAGTTGTAGCAGCTCAGGTTCAAAGTCTTAAAGCCTCCGTCCAAGATGAGTTCTGCTATGGCCCGGCCCACCACCGGCGAGTGCTGCAGGCCATGGCCACTGAAACCAGTGGCGAAGTACATGTTATCGATGAGCGGGTGCACACCGACGATGCCGTTTTGGTCGAAGGTGTTGTAGTCGTAGAAACCGGCCCAGGCGCTGGTCACCTGACGGGAAGGACAGCCGAAAACGGGTCAGATTATTAATCCTGTTTTTATGTTAGCCTGAGGATTTATGGATAATCTGAGGACAAATTAAGATTTATCACATCTAAAAAAATCACATTTACAGAAGAGTTGAAAACTGAACTAAACCAAAAAGAAGCAGAATGCTAATTAAAAGCTAAAAGCAGAAAAAGCCTATTTAAGAAGCTAAAACTAGGAGGTAAGCTACAAGTAACAAAAAGCTAGAAAAAAGTAGCAAAATAGTAGCTAACAAACTGAACGCTAGCTAAAAGCAGCAAAAGGGTAAAATACAAGTAGCATAGTGTAGAGTAGCTAACAGTAGCAAAATCATATCTATAAGCTAAAAGTAGTGAAACGCTAGGTAAAAGTATTATAAGCTAGTTAAAAAATAAAAAAACATAAACGTCAATAGCTAAAAATGTTCAATATATATAAATTGTAAAACAATAGCTAAAAGTATCAAAAGACTAGCTAATTGTAGCAAAATGCTACCTAAAAGCTAAAAGTGGCAAAAGAAAAGCTAAAAATATGGAAAAAGGCTAGTTAAAAGCTACAAGTAGCAGAACTGCATCTAAAAGTAGTAATGGTAAGCTAAAAGCAGCAAAAGGTTAGCTGTAGCATATTATAGCTAATAGTAACTAAATAATATCTAAAAGCTAAAGTAGGAAAAGGGCAGGTAAAGTGCATTAAAAGCTAGCTAAAAAGTTACATATAAAACACTTGCTAACAGCTAAAAAATATCAAGACTACTTAAAAAGTAGCAAAAACATTCATAAAAGCTAAAAGTTACAAAAGGAAAGCTAAAAATTATAACGAGGAAAACACTAGCTACAGACTAAAAGTAACAGAACAGCAGCTAAAAGCAGTAAAAGCAAGCTAAAATATAAAAGGAGCAAAAGGCTAGATAAAAGCTAAACGTAGAAGAACATTAGCCAAAAACTAAAAGTAGCAATAGAAAACAAAAAACTGTGCTTCAGAAGAAATTGTTTGCACTACTTTAAAGTCTGTCTGCTTAGACGCCTAAACTTTTACACAGATCAGTAAATTTAAATCTCCAAACATTAAGGAAAAAAAAACTACCTTGAGTTTTTCAAAGGCTGGAACTCGATTGGCCAATTTGGGCCAAACTTTGTCCTCAAAAAACTGGTAGTCCACCTCCAGGTTGCTGACGTCCGGCTCTTCTGACTGAGGACAAAATAGGGACAAATTAATCAGATTACCTGTCAAAAATGTTAAAATATTGAGATTAAAAAGTCCGACCTCCTCCGGTGAAACTCCGGTGATGTAGTTCCCTCCAAAACCTTCTCTCCTAAAGTAAACGCCCGAGTAATCGATCAAGAAGGGACAGTCCAGACCTGGCCCGTCAGGGCAGTGGACCACATAAACGTACCTGAACAAAAACAAAAAATAAACACTTTATCTTCTGATTCCAGCAGGGGGCAGAAGAACCACATCTCGAGCCGGCACCGCACCTCTTGCGTGGCTCCACAGGGATTCCAGGGAAGGAATCATCTGGGTTGAGGCCGACCCCCAGCATCTCTGCCAGCTTGGCCGAGAAAGCTCCGGCTGCRTTCACCACTATGGCACACTCCACTGGTTGATACTCCTGACTGTTGGGCATCTTCACCTGCGCACATGACGTTAACCCTTTAATGGCTAAACTACAGGAGCTTATCCAGCCCACATATTCATCATTAGTGATGAATACAAGTTATAAAATCGTTTTAAAAAAAAGGAAAATGCACTAAATATTATATTTATAGTACATATTTAACCAGACAAAAACAAAAAACGTCAAAGATCAAAAACAAATAATAAAATATAAAGCATACAATTATTTTACAGCATAAATGGTTTTCAAATTAAAGTTCATTAAAACACAAACATTTTAAAACATTATCTGAAATCCCAAACCAAAGAAAGATGGCCGCCACAGCCGTTACATGATGGCCTGCCTCTGCCGGGCGACATCAACTCCACAGAGTTTCACTTACTTTGACAGACTTTATGAACCGCGTTTCAAACATTTCTCCATCTTCGGACCTCGCTGCATCTCTTCTATAAAAAAAATCTGTCGATGACAAACAGGATAAACTGCGGTTTAAATAAAAAACAAGTAAACAATGAACAGAACAGATATTTACCTTTTAAAAACAAATAAATGTGATGTGCTACGTGCTCTTATTGTATGTTTGTTTTGTTTYTGATCAGCGTTTTGAACTCGGTGGTTTTGGCGTCAGGAGGTCCGAACTGACCTGTGACCTCTCCGAAGCACTGAGTGGCCCCCAAAGAGAGGGCCTTCCTCCTGAAGGCGTTCAGCAGAGTCCAGGGGTCGAACCAGCCCTCGTTCTCCAGACCTGCAGGGCAGCAAACGTGTCAGAGCTGAACTTAAGCTAGCAGCTGATCGTTGAGTCACAGTTTGCTTTTTGTTCTATTTAAGCCTTTCAAACGTTAAAATATTCAGCTAATTCAGGCACTCTGATTTTTAGTTTTTGAAACTTTTATACAGTTCAAATACTTACATTTATTTACAAAGATTRTACTGAGATCTTTAAGATTAATTTAAAACCTTTTTTTTACTTAAATCTTCTCCAGAAAGCCTGATGTCTTACCTTCTTTTGCTACTTTCAGTTTTAGGCTACCATTGTGCCAGCAGTTTGTTACTTTTAGCTACTATTCCGATGTTTTTCCTTTTTGTTTTGCTACTTTTAATTTTTAGTTATTTGGCCTTTAGCTTTCCTTTAGCTTCTTTTAGCTAGCCTTTTACTAGATTTGTCATTTAGCTAGCTGTTTGCAACTTTAACTTCTAATTTGGTGCTTTTAGCAAGCAACTTGGTTTTTAGCTAACATTCAGCTACTTTCAGCTACTCTTTTGTCCCTTTTAGCTACTGTTCTGATGCTTTTACATTTTCTCATTGGTTTAGATAGCTGYGTGTCTCTTGCTACTTTTAGGCTTWTGTTTTGCTATTTTTGATTTTTAGCTACTATTAGCCTTTAACTACCTTTGTGTGACTGTTATTCCTACTTTTATGTTTCACCTGTTTAGCTAATATTACCTTTTAACTATCCTTTTACTACTTTTAGTCTTTAGCTGCTTCTATTAGCTCTTAGCTAACTTGTTTCTGGAGTTTTATTTTAGCTGGTTGTTTTCAACTTTAGCTTCCAATTTGCTAAATATGGCTTTTAACTGACATTCAGCTACTTTTAGCCAGTTTTTGTTACTTTCAACTTTTAYTTTGTAGCTATTTGTCAACTATTAGCTTTCAGTTATCATCTTGCTATATTTAGTGAGTCTTTTTTCAGGCTGTAGCTAACATGTTGCAAGATTTGTCTTTTAGCTAGCTGTTTGCACTCCTTTAACTTCCACTTTGATGTTTTTTTAAGCTTTTAGCTAGAATTCTGYTTCTTTCAGCTTTACCAGCTATCTGTAGCTTCAGCAGTCATTCAGCGACTGACAGACACCCTCCTCCTGTCAGGATGTGACAGATGTGAGCTAATCTTGATTTATTGAACAGTATTTTATAAATTAAACAGGATATTTAGCTGTTTAATCACAGAGGAGCTGAATAAACTCTTTGCTGCAGCTCGTTTACCCTCCAGCTGCTACGTGAGGTGCAATGACTCCATATCAGCTCATTTTTTGTTTGCCTCACCGTACGAAGCGAGCGCCACGCCATCTGTGTTTATCCAGGGAAACCTCTCCTTGGCTTGTGTGGGAGACAGGAGACAGACCTGGGCCCCGACCAGCCTGGAACCGCAGGATGGGACAAAGGTCTGGATCAGTCCAGCTCCATGGACACAAAACAACATTTGTAACGAGAAGCCGGTTTCCTCTGAGCAAACCGTGAGCGACACCTCTGGTTCTCGTAGTTCCTCTCCATGATGTGMGCCACCTCCTCGCTGGCTAAGAACAGGTATCCTGACTGGTTGAACTGCAAATCCACGGGGTCTTCGTTCAGCATGCCCAGGTGGTCCTGACGGGACACGAAAAAAAGATTCTCAGACCACTCAAAAAACAAACACAAAATAAAACCTCCTCTAACTGACCTATCCATCAACGTTAGTACCTACAGCTCATACAATCACATCTCTAAATATTTAAAGGTTCATCATTCATTCCCAGCCTGATCCGACAGTTTAGTGCACGTGCCAAACTTGGCCAAAATGGCCCACCACAATATTTTATGTGGCCCACAAGAGCTTCAAAGATGTATCAATGTCTTAAAATAGGCTGCTTTAAAGTCAACATTGACAATAAACTACAGCTCCCATAATGCATGTTGATTATTTTGCCCCTGAGATGACAGCACAGGATTCAAAAGTAGCCATCAGCCGGCAAAGTTTGCAGCGTAAAATTTCTATTTTGCTGCATTTTTGCTGGACCAGTTGTACTGGGAAGTGGGAATTCCCCACTTACAAGCCATAAATTGAAACTTGAATGCTCTCTCCAGTGGGAATTCCCAATCAGAAAGTGGGAGACGTGGTAAAACGCTGTTTCTATGTAGGAAATACCAGGTGGAGCTCAGTTATTGTTTGTTACCTGTGTTCAGGAACGTGACATTTTGTGTTTAGTCAAAGTTAAACTGGAGTTGTTGAACTTAATTACAACCATAATGCTCATGTGGCTCTCTGTGAAGGTGAGTTTGACTCCCCTCCCACAGCTTAGGGCGACCTACATTGATGTTCCTCAGGAATTCAGCAGACGCCAGGGAGGCCTGGATGTTCTGAAACATGGAGAACTGCTGCCGGATCCCCCCTGCAGACAGAACTGTGGAGGTCTGGGAGTACTGTGGGAAAAAAAGGAGTTGAAAATTAGCTTAGTCGTGTTGGAAAACTGATGTTAAACGGCTGACCGGGTCACTCACTGTTGGGTCCCTCTCCACGACGAGGACCTTCACCTCTTTGGCTAAMCTCCCCTTCTGCTTCAGCCAGTAGGCGATGGACCAGCCCATAATGCCTCCTCCAACAATCACAATGTCCGACCTCTCAGGTGGAAGGTTCTGGTTTATCTCAAAAGGGCACCAGTTGCTCCCTGGGTGTGCCATGGCCAACTTATTCCTTACCGCTTGAAACTGGGCCTTCAGGTCTAAACACAAAGATAACAATGAACAAACAAACCAACATCTGCAATCAGGAGCAATCTGTTTGCACTCTCATTTTTGTTGATCAGTTTCAGCTACTACGCCAAGTTTCACCAGGATACCTGTAAAATCTGCTGAATTATTTACATGTTGGTGTTTTCCAGGGTTCATTGGCTGTAACGACCATCTTGAACTGAGCTGGCTCCAAATGTTAATGCACATTCAATGATTATTTCCTAGAAGTTTCATAAAACCCATCCAGTGGTTGGTGAGATATTTTGCTAACAGACACGGGCAAAAACATTATCGCTCGCTCTCACCTTTCAGGGAAACAGGAAGTAAACACCTGCCGAATAATAAGCTTGACTTGTGTTTTTACCTTTATATAAGTCATTTCGGAGGGGTCCACCTGTGTTCAAGGTTTGACCGAGAATTAAAGGTCTACACCGGTCTGTGTGCCGCAGGGTCACCGGAGTCCGGGTGAAAAATACCCCCGTCCGCACCTTTCCGTGCAGCCGCCGCCACACCGACATCTCAGCTGGGAGCTAAATGTGCTAATCGGTTAGCATATGGGAAGTTAACCGGGATTATTATTTAACTCTACGGTACGCTCATGTTTCACTTTAAACATTCGGTCAACTCTGGCCTGGACAGTAAGTAAACGAGGCGAAACACAACCTTAAAATATCAATAAAAGCACATCCGGTTTACCATCTGGGACTTTCAAAATAAAACCACACATTTTAGGATTGCCTGGCTTTATGTGTCGTCCGACAAACACTTCAAAACTTCTATAAATAGTTTAAAGAGAAACAGAGCAAAGAAAAGCATTGTACTGAGTTAACAGACATTCATTTATCAAGATAAATTTTTAGTAATTGTTAGTTTTTTTCTTTTTGGCGGATGGTAAATATTTTGTCAAACAGAAATGCTACTTAGAAAAATGTGTAAAATCACGTTGTAAAATAGTTAAACCAATTTATTTTTTCATGAAAACAAACAAGCAAACAAACAAAAACAACATGTCAGTTGTATAAATTTTGGTCCCCACTGCTGCCCACTAACTTTACCGTAAACATTTGATGCAACTTTTTGGAGGAAAAAAGAATACACTTTTATTTTGAAAACTAAACAAGAAACAGTAAACTTATAATTGTACGTTTAACATTATTAAGATCCGGGGCAGTGACTGTCACGTGACCAGAACGAACCAATTGAGAAGAGGATAGATGAGCCAAAACCTTTCCCTCTAAAAACCAGCATGTTTTTATGTTTTTCAATTATTACCCATTTGTTTCATTTTGACAGTCAATAAAACAGTTTGGTTGGTACTTAAAGGAATTTATTAGATACCAAAAATAACATCAGCGATAATAAAATCATGTCACAAAGGTTTTTTGGACATTTCACCTAACAAAATATTAAGGGTCACTTGTAATAAAAAAAGTTAAACGATCACCACCACCAGTAGTAGTAGTAGTAGTAGTAGTAGTAATAATAATAATAATAATAATAATAATAATAATAATAATAATAATAATAATAATAATAATAATAATAATAATTCTACTACTAGTGCTACTACTACTACCTCCACCACTGCTTTTACCACTGCTATTTCATTTCCTACTCATGAATATCCCTTTTTTTACTTATATTTTTATTTAGAAAGTTATACTTTTTCACTTGTTCCGTTTTACTTTGAAGGATCTGCACAGAAGTAACATTTCCGGGTTTTATTTTGTAGCGGCAGCCGGAAGTGGGTAGTGTTACATCACGGAATTGACGGCCGTGTTTTTTTCTGTTCCCTGGGGCCACAGTGTTTTCAGCGCGACTCAGCTTACAACTTCCAGGACTCGCTATGGTCGCTTGAGTCGGACGGAAACGTCCTGCCTCGGTCACCGTTTGTTCAAAGTCGTTTGAAGGAACATTTCGAAATAAACTTTCAGCTTCAGTTTCTAAAGTTTATGTCAATAAACGAGGATGCAGCCCCCGCCGAGAAAGGTAAGTTTTTCTCTTTTTTCTCCGCTGTAGCCCCTGAAGCTAACTTCGACGGACTGCTGCATATTTTATGGTTGTTACGCTTTGTTGCTGCTGGTCGGGTTTAAACGATAAACTTACACTTTGAAGCTACAATAACAATACTTATTGTTGTCTTTCTGACTGAACTGTGTCGTTATTATGTGTTTAATCTGTTTAGGAGTAGGTGAAGTAGTTTAAAAATAAAATGCTGCAGTGTTTTTTTTTTCATGTTTTTTTTACTCGTAAAGGTTCGCTCTCAAAGCGAAAAACGGTCCAGCTAAAGAGGCAGATTTTATGACCACATTTACATTTTTAAAACAACTTTTAAGATACAAAGTTGCAGCTACAGCTTTGCATAAGTTAGATTCAAGTACACTTCAATTAATCCTATGTTTATCTTAAAAGTTTCAAATTATGAAATGTGTTAAATAACACAGTGAGGATTATTTAATAAATTATATGTAACCAGATTGTTTTTATTATCTTGTAGAAAAGTATGTGTGCTGGAAACAGCTCACTGAGCGTTTTAAATGCGTTATTTAATGTTTTATTATAAAAATAGGCCTTAAGTAAACACTAATGTGGAAAAAAATGATGAAATGTGATGATATTTCAATACAAGTATAGACCATTTATTTCACATTTCATGAGTTCATATTAAACCAGTGTATAAAATGCTCTCACTTAAAATTATAGAATCAAAAATCCTGATCTTTATCAAATGGTGCAGTTTGAATTAACTCCAGTAGTTTCCAGATACCTAGTTTTGAAATGCGGGTATGCACTGAATGTAAACACAGCACTTTTATCTGCACTTTACTCAACATATTAATAAATAAGTACAGATACCTTTAAAATTGTTTAACTTCTCTATCCCAATCATCCCATGGACGTTACAAAAGTTTACCTGTTTTCAGAAATTTTGTTTTTAAACAATGGTTACAAATTTTATTCCCCAAAATTTTAACTTCTCAAAATGAAGGAAAACGTTTTTTATGATTTATTTCAATATGACTTTCCAACAAGTACCTTCCTGATTATTTGGGATTATAAAAACTGAGAATCTTTTCATAAAATGTTGCATCATGTTTGATCCATTTGTCATCATGATTTTTAGTTAATTTTCTTTTCTGTGCTGTATTTTTGTATACAAAATGTCTTTGATTGCAAGTTATTATCCATTGCTATTATTTCAGTAGTAAATATTTAACTTGAACAAGGCCCATAGGACAGCTGTTAACACTTCCAGGTACAGATAATTGCACCTTATCAGTCTGATTGTAAATTTTATGTCGCCGCTGTTCAGAGAAACCAACTCTTTCCTGCTGAGCTCTACTGATTAATGGTAAAACTTTATATCATTTAAAATCTAAAAGTTAGTGACTTTAAGATTTGATTTGATATCAAATTAATCTAAAAATAAAACAAGACAGATTAATTCCCACATAATAATATGTATGTCAGTTGTTTTAATTTGATATAATCGTGACAAATCATTTGTTTTTTGTCATTTTTGAGTTTATTATTAATATGGTCATATTTCTTGTTTTTTTGTTTATCTCTCCTGCCAGTTTGATAAAACCATCCTGAATCTGTTTGTGCTGATTATTATTTTATTATTTGAAAACAATAACTTAATTAAAAAAATACCAGGATTCTCTAACACTATCWAATATTACCAGAGTACAGCATTACCCCATTCTGTACCCAAGAAGTTCGGAATGAGGATGTACTTCTTTAGTTTTGTGTAACCACAAGAACTGAGGTTTGCCATGGGTTGGATTGTGTGTCTGAAAATGTTTGTACTTTAAGTGTTTAGATGCTTTTTTCAGAGGGATAATGGAAAATTATCTCTTTTCCAAGGCATGGGCCACTGATTGGACACTTTACCCCCAATGAACAACCCTGATTGGGTTTAGAAGCAAATAAAAACATCAGTATTTACTTTTTCCACAATGTCAGTCAACTTAGATTTGTTGTGAAAAACAAGCTTTGAAAAATTGGAACAAGATTAAGGCTGCAGCTAACGATTATTTTAGTGATTGAATTAATTAATCTATTGATTATTCTGTCGATTAATCAAGTAATCTGATAAAAACATTGTCCAGTTCTGCAGTAACTACTGAAGATTATTTCACGACTACTACAATTATTTAATATTGTGAAGAGTAATTTGTATTATTATTATTATGTTGGTGCATTATTCCCATTTTAGGCAATAAAATATTTAATCTTGACTGCTTCACTATGAACAAGAAGAATAACAACAGATTTCAAAGCCATAAAAAACGGCAGCAAAAAAGAAAAAAAATCCTATTAACTACTATAAATACTTTTAAAATTTGCTCCAAGTTTCTCATTTCAGCTCAATCTATTGTGCTTTTGTTTATATTTATCACACAACGTACCCACTGTTAATTAATACCCTGCCAAGTAGCCACTATGATTAGTCAGTACATGTAATGTTAATTAAAAATAGCACTTAGCATACATTTATCAACAGTGAAGCCATTAGCGGAAGTGTTAGCGTTGTGCAACACTTTCTGACTAAGAGTGTGCTGAATATTTTATTTGTAACAAAGCTTCGATGCAGATAAATACATGTCTGCAGTCTGTGCATGAACTTGTGGAAAGTTGCCTCCTCCTCACCTTGGTTTGTTTCTTCTTCAGGTAAGGCTCACCCAGGAGCTCAAACACACTCAGGCCGAGCAGATGAGCCAGCTACAGATAAAGCACCAGACAGAATGTGACCTTCTGGAAGACCTGAGGTAAGCAATTTAATCTTTGTGTCTTTCTCTGGCTTCATAAAATTGCAGTCCGTGCTCGATATGCACTGTCTTCTGGATCAAAGCTTTGCCTAGGCCCGACCCCCCACCCCCAATTATGATTGGCTAGTAGGCCTTTCAAGTGTGTTTTGAGAGCAACAGCTGCATCTCATCCAGAGAAACGTCTGTTAAAGCTCTGTGAACCTGAAGATTGACCCGATGCACTGAGGGCATCCTGAGGCGTCGCCAWACTGAAAGAGGGTGTGGAAAAACTGAACATCTCTACTTAAACACTTGGTTTTAGCTGATCAAAAGCAGCTAAAGTATCAATAATTTAACTTGTGGCAAACATTTAGCAGAACAAAACCATATGGTGAGAGTTAAGGGTGTAAGGAAGTATTGATACACTGAAATATCACGTTTCATTTCCTGATTCTGTATTGATTATTTTAATTCATGTTCAGTGTCTTCTGATTGCATAAAAAACTGCATTTATCAGGTTTCAAGCATGTATGGTGTGTTTTTTGTACAGCGTGTTAAAATTTAAATCTCGGAGAAAAAATGCCAACTTATTTACAGTATCGCAATAAATCGCGATWCTTAATCATATCGTGATATGTAGATCAACAAATTCTTGCCATTACACAGCCCTAGTGAGAATATAACATTAATGTTGGGGAAAAAGGCTTTTGATCTGGCTATTTTAAGTTGTTTGCTTTAAAATATAAAAAAACAGACCGTCCTGGTGAAGTTACTAACTTTAAAAATCTTTCACTTATTTGTGTGAGTAACTTGGTGCACTTTTCTCTCTCAAAGGGGTATCTAGGTGAAGAATTTCCCCAAACTGAGTTCCTAAATCCCCACAGACCTTTAGAGTACAGAGTTGTTTTGTTACATAAATAATATTTTATTATGTTTCACCTTTGCCTTTTGGCGACGGGTACTAAAGTAACAATATGTGCTTTCCACTGAAAAACACAGAAAAATCCAAAACATTACTTTAGTTACAGTCAGTAGTTTGAAATGATGTGTCGTAAACATGTGTTAGAGCAGATATCAGAAGCTTAAATGAAATAATGGAAGCAGGTTGTACCTTTTCTCAGTGTAAGAATGAGACAGCCATAACTCTGGGTTTTGTGTTGGCATTTTAACCAAAGGTTGTGTTTTCCACCTTTGGTGTGGGATTGAGTTGACAGCCTACTGGCTCCCCACTTCTTGTCTGTGGTCGGTGCCGGAGCTCTAGATCTCTTAACAGCTGGAAGTTAAGGTCACAGAGAGCTGCCAGATGTTCTGACTGCCCTGAATTGTTTGCTGCGGGAGGCTCAACAACCCCACAAAGTTCAGCTCCACCGACGCACAGCTCGCAGGCACCAGAAATTATTCAGCAAACTGGAAATCGCGAGCATTCGTCAGCAAAAGCTACGCTCGGCGAAAATGACGGGAAGTGGCGGCGGGGGGTTTTGTGGAAGAGGAGGAATCTCCCAGGAAGTGGAGCAGCTTGTTTAGAGCCAGGGTGGAGCATGGCAGCCGAGTCTCGACATGTTTAATGACTTAATGATGATTTTGCTGCAGAAGTTTTTCCCATGGCGCTGACCTCGCTTCTTTTCTTAGCCCTCTGCTTGAGCCTCGCTCGAATTGTCATTATCCTGTTTACACAAACGAACCAGAAACGATCAAGGGCCAGGATCAAAAACTGCCTCCATAGATCATATTTCTCAGCACATTTTATGATCTGCTCTCGTGTTTATGAAACCAGATGAGCCCGCTCATCTGGTGAAAACGTTTGGAGGGAACTTTTGGATAAGTAAATCCAGGGAAAAAAGGAAATAAGTATGAAACAGTTTCTGTAAATCTGACGCACGCAGTTCAGTGAAGAGCTTTTTGTGACCGCAGCATCATTAGAAACAAACAGGTTGATCAGAATGAGGCAGCAGAGAGGAAACTGTAGTGACAGTGTAGGGAAATAAAGTGTTAGGATGAGTTAGAGCTGACTCCGAAACAAAAAATGAACTTTAATAAAATAAACATGTTCAACAAGTGGTGCTAACTCAAATTTTCACTCTTTTAGTTTCTGTGTGACATTGTTTATGATGAAGATTGTTCATTGTTGTGGTATAAATGGCACCAAAATAAATTTGATTACGACTCACAGAGCTGCTGTACAATTATAAAACAGTTATTTTTGCATTTTGATTTATGTTTAAACTTACATAAATTTGCTTTATTTAAAAAAAACATTAATTTATATATCTTCATTAAAGAGTCTACAGAAAACTGTCTAAAAACCTTAGAAATCACAGCTGCTAAGCTACAATTAGCATAGATGCTAACTTAAAACAAAACACACCATAGAAAAGCTAAAGAGTTAATATGTTGTTCATCACTGGAAATTTATGCACAAGTCAGACATTTTAAAATAGTTATTAAATAACTATAAAACTATGAATAATAATAGTTATTAAAGTTACGATTTGAACAGACAGAAATTCTTCAGGGTTGTAAGAAAATATCAACACTGAAATATTACAACATTTCATTTCCTGTACTGTATTGATTCCCAAAAGCATTGTGTTGATTTTTTTGAAATTAGGCTTAAAATGTAAATTGTCATGCAGCGGTTCCTTCTTGTGTTGTATTTTAGCCTCTGACTGCATGTATGTTGTAAGAAGACAAGTGAAAACAAATATAGTTCTCGTTGTTGTACAATGTTGTGCTAAATGTATAAAAATAAACAGAATTTCATCAGATTTAATGCAACGCATGGTTGCTCCTCTTGTTACCTCTTTAATCCTTTAGCTTTACTGCAACATGTTTAAAACTACAGGAATCTACGGTAGCCCTAATGGGACAAACTGCACCAAAGTGGCAGCACATATAAAATCCATTTTGACTTTTTAAATTGAATTAAATCTGCAATACAAAGACTTTAGCTCCTAATTTGCCTGGTGTAATCTCATAGTAAAAGTGCTTTATTAAGTTTTGCTCACATTGTATTTTTGTCTGCAGGACTTTCAGTCAAAAGAGGGCAGCTGTAGAGAGAGACTACGCCCAGGTAAATAAATCTAATCTCCTGTCATTTTTTATTTCTTTCTTGCACCCCTCTTGATGCTCGTTAACATCCTTGCTGCAGCGCCTTGTCATTTATGCTGTTAAAAATAACACATTCTTTATGATCCATCCTCCACAGACATCATATGACAGAGGAACTGAGGATGTGTCCCCGAGGTGGGGGGGGGGAGAGCGAGAGAGAAAATCTTTTGGTTATCTTGTGGTCAGATAGCTCATAAATGTTAACCAGCTTTTTCAAAAAAACACCACAACAGAGAGATCAACAGTGATCTGGTTTCCTCCTCGCCGTCTTGTTGCCCACAACTTCCTGGAGACGTTATTCAAATAGTTGAAAATGCTCTCGGTTCCGTTCAGGTCTGTTCTGGATTTTCAGCCCCGTGTGGAATGTCCACCAGGATTGTAAAAGAGAGTGGGGGCATGTTTGTAGTTTTCATCCCTTTTTCGATGTTTGCTCAGTGACATCCGGTGTTCAGGAGGGTTCAAGTCTGAACAAACCAGGATTAATCAGAGTTAAAGTGGAAGTAATGCAAAGTAGCACCAATAGAAGATTATTTTTCTGCATATTTATGTTTAATCTAATTAATGTTAAACCGTTATTAAAGAGCGTAATTAACTGAGCATACCTGCGGAAGGTGTACACATTAAGACTGGTTTAAGTGTTTTTGTCTGGCATCAAAACACCTAATTAATTAATAATAAAGGTCACTGATTCTGACCTGTTTGGTTCTTTGGGTTCTATCCTTCCATATTTGGGTATAAAGTACACAAAAAAACACAGTTTGTGTTGAGATAAATTCAGGTGAACACACTTGAAGCATTTATTGTGAAGAGAAACTTAAAAACACACAGCTCTGTTCTCCTCACTGCTCCTGTCTTTAATTTATTATTCATGCTGCTGCTTCGGGTCCATGTTACCTCATTAACTTACATAAAACATGCTAAATGCTAATGCTGTTCGCCAACTAGTCCCAGCCCAGAGACTCTTGAATATCTTTGAATAGAGCAGTTCATTCAATTCGTTGATTTCTTTATTCCTTAGTTTAGTCCTGATATTTGTTTTTGTTATTTTGTTTGTATGTTATACAGTTCAGTAATTAATTAATTTTTTATGTCCGTTTTAGACTGTATTTTGTTTTTTGAGCATTGTTTAGACAGAAATCTAGGTTTTAAAATGTTGCTTTGAGCTCCGCAGTGTTTGYATTTTATAATGATTTAATAGATAATTTGAGCTGGACTCCTGAAAAYGATGAAATGTCCAGAAGTATCCGGTCAGTGTTGAGCTGTGTGGTTTTGTTAAACTGCTGCTAATRTTTGAATCAAAGTGGGTCAGAGTGTCTCAGGAAGAGTTTGCTCGCTTCAGCAACTCTCCCCTTTTCAAATCGCTCCTCTTAAAGGTTTTTTTTTTCCCCTGAGTCTCGTCCACCTGCAGCCTGCTTTAGCCATTAGCCGATTGCTATTCCCGTCACATGACGCGGTTTAAAAAGCCCCCCTCTGTGTGGCTCTTCCTCCACGACCCTTGTTCCCATCGCATCATTCAGGGGTGTCTGCTCAGTCGGCGATTCTCTCTCCATCTGAGCCCACAATGATCGCATCTGTAGCAGCTTTGAAGCTTTGGCACAGAGATCAGCAACAGCAGCGAGTTCAAAGCTCCTCCTCAGCCTGAATCAGGACCACAGAGCAGAGCTTGTCTTTTCACGATGAGGGGAGGACAGATGAGCTCTTGTTTTGACTTGAAGCTCAGAGAAACAACTGTGAAGAGTGTCTCTTCTTGAAATAAAAGTTAAATTAGCTATTCCTCTGAGCTCCTTTATGTTTGAGCACTTTTCAGTTCAGGTTATGTGAATCTCAAGTTCATTAGTTGTTTGTTAATTTCTGATCCTTTCACCTGAATCCTCGCTGCAGATGTTCAGTAGCTGCAAAGAGCTGAATGCTCACAAACATTTCTTCAAATCGTTGCGGAGGAGGCAGCTGCCATCAAGGAGAACTCCTTGTGTTCTTTAAACAGCGTTAAATTAGACGATGGGAGTAACATCCAGGGTTGGTTTTCCAGCAGAACGTCAGGCTTCCTGCATTCTTCTTGCTCTGTATCCTGTTCCTGCCTCCTTCCTTTCTGATTAAGTTTGGTGTACCTGACGTGTTCAGCAGTGTGTCAGAGACGCTCCGACAGAAAAAAAGACGAAACTAGAAGATTAAAAGGGAAACTTTGAGAGAAAATTTTAAATGGTGTTTAAGACAAGACCCAGTGAAGATAGCTGTTATTAATATTATTGTTAATTTAATGGAAATTTAAAGGGATCCATGATTAGTTGTAACATTAGACTTTATTTGATAAACATTTATTTTAACTGTAAAATAAAGACTAAAAATACTGTAGACTGCTTAGATTTGTAAATTGTTTAAAATATATATTAACATAGATGAAGCCATTTTATTTACACGCAAAGCATTCTGGGTAAATGATGACGTGAATAGGTCCTTGGTGTGAGCGAGCTATATCCA